ATTTTCTTAGCACTTGATTAAAAAGAATATTTCAAACAAAACCAATAGTCGATAAAAGTCAAAATGTTTACAGAATCTTCAAAATATATTTGCATGTACATTAATTTAATTTTTCATGAGATACAGCATCATAAAAATATTTTAAGAGCTATATTCGAAGAATTATGATTAAACTGAGGGCTGGTGGTATAACTTATTCAAAAAAAAAAAAATGATATATTTTTTCAATACTAGAAAAAAAGTTACTGAAAAGTTTTGCATGGTTTTTATTAGATGCAATAAAATTAAATTAAATTATATAAAAAAATAATAATAATTAGAGAAAAACAAATATTATAAGATTGACTTCAATAGTTAAATATTATATTTTGCATGGGAGTTGCTTTTGGAAAAATCTTTAAAATTGAGATGATCATGAATGAATTAATTTATTAAATGCACTTGTGAGTTTTGAGGAGCTGTTCAGGACGTACCGTGCAGACTATGTAATTGAAAGTTTAATATTATATACTTCAAAGTATTTAATTTAGAAATAAAATTAGAAAAATATATGTTTCTTAACAAATTTTCGAGTAATTTATACTTAACTTTGCCAACAGCACGATGCGTATTTAATTTAAGTAATATATTAATCGTAATATTTCAGAAGCTCGTCAGGACTTACTATGCGGGATAAACAATCATAATTTTGGAATTATATTCTCCAGTCTATATACTTTTGGAATAAACTTACAAAAAAATATGTTTCTTAACAAGTTTTTGAGTAATTTGTACTTAACTTCGTCAATACTTCAATGTACCATTAATTTATGTTATAATGCACTTGTGAATTTTGAAAAGCTCGTCAGGACTTACTATGCAGAATAGACTTGCGAAATTTCGATATTATATTCTCCAATATATAAGCTTTACAAATAAAATTAGAAAACAAAACATTTCTTAACAAAATTTTGAGTAATTAACCATTAACTACGACGATACCTTAATGTACATTAATTTATGTTACCAAGCAATCGTAACTTTATATATACAACTTTGCTCTCGCCGTTTTTACAATACAAATCCTTTGCAAAAACGGCATAGGCAAAGTTGTACACCTGATATATTGTTTATAAGTATACCGAGTTGCTGTAAGGATTAATGATGTTAGACAATATTGTTCATTAATTAATTTTATGCAATCTTGTCAAAGGCACATGTAATACATTAGTGATTTAACCATAACAATTAGGTGTACAACTTTTGTTCCGCCGTTTTTGCAATATAATTTGTATGCAAAAACGGCGGGAGCAAAGTTGTACAATAATTAATAATATAATGAATAATCCAGGATGCT